ACCCGACAGCACTCACTAATAAGTATAATACTTTTTAATATGGTGGATTGAACAGCAGCAGTCAAACGGACGTGTTTCAGCTCATAGCCGTCCTCAGCGTTAGGAAATGACCACTTTAGAATGAAGATACAGACAGTACTTACTGACCCTCATGCCGACAAGAAATCCAGTGTAGTTTTTTAATCCACAAAACTCGTTCGGGGTATCGGAGGATAACAGCTACACTTGAAGTGCACGGAACCCACATTTTGAAATGTAATAAAACTCCGCTAATGCATTTCAAAAACGTCAGAACGGCTCGTCCGTCGTAATCCAAGTACCCTGAAGCCGCAGCATGCAAACTGACTTGAAAAGACGTAATTTACTCCACTTTAATAGCATCATTTCTCACCGTGGTCAGTTAGCCTGCCCTGCAGGAGTGCTGTGTTTACATGGCAACTCGCGCGAGACTTGAGAACTAGCACCACCACTAGCCATCAGCTAGTCTTGCGTGAGTTGCCATGTAAACACAGCACTCCTGCAGGGCAGGCTAACTGATGTTAGCTGTTAGCAGTTGGTGACTTTAGTTGTCAGCAGCTAGTTGATATTAGCTGTTAGCAGCTAGTTGATATTAGCTGTTAGCAGCTAGTTGATGTTAGCTGTTTGCAACTAGTTACCATTACCTGTTGCCTATTAGCAGCTAGTAACTTAAGCTGTTAGCTGTTTGCAGCTAGTTAACACCAACAGACTTTCAACCTCTTCAGTTAATATTTATTTAGATTTGCTTAACATATATTTAGCATTAGTTTAGCATCACTTTAACATCAGTCTGGCATTGGTTTAGTATCACGGCAACGCAGCGAAGGTCGACATTTTGCCAAAACACAGTAATTTGTCATTAACTTAAGCAGACTTGGTTCAATCTGCCTGAAACTTGACACGCTCCTTCATAGTCCAGACCTGGACACATAAGTACATGAGTTTTGTCGACAGGCGTGGCTTAATGCATTGGCCACGCCCCTTAAACAGCAGCCCCCATGGCATGTTTTCTCGACATGCACGGAAGTTGGTACACACATGTATCACGCCCTGACGCACACAAAAACCCTCTTGGACCAATAGGCCAGACCCAACAGGAAGTCGTCCATTTTAAATTTCATGGTAAATTTTGGTGTTTTCCATGCTTCACATTTTAATGAACTCCTCTTGCAAACATAATCTGATTGCCTTCAATCCTGGTGTGCACCATCTCGACAACTCTGTGATCAAAATTTGGTAAAAGATTTGGTCAGCATTGAATGGTGCGGCCAGGGCATGGCATCAAATATTAAAGTCTCGCCATGAAACACAAAAATCTTATAACCTTGGCATAGTTGGTCTGATCACCCGCAAACTTCACAGGATTGATGACAGTCCCGCCCTGAACACTTCTACATCCCAATTATAGGTTCGTTCGAGATGAGCCAGTCCTGCGCAGATTCGATCACCGGCGATCAGCGCACAATGCATGCGGTTAGTTTTGTGTCCGACTTCATCCCGACTTGCTCTGACGTATTACAAAAGTGGACGGCGATAAAATCGCGAGAGCGAGGCAGCCGCAGTTTTTAGAGCCAGGCGCTGCAGTTGCTCTCCATCGACTGCACCGCTTGGCTCTCACCTGATCTAACAGCTAAATGGTTCAGATGTCGACTCAACAATATGACGTTTTAGATAAACTACTCATTTTTGTTGTATTTTAGAGATTAAGATTGTATTTGTCTGACCTGAAGGTTTATTCTGTGAACAGAAAACATGTTGTGTGACTGATGGTGAAAACAAACTGATATATGGGTCTGATCACTTTTTTAATGAATTGACATCATTCCAGACAGGATGTTAGTGTGTCTGTGACTTCCTGTACACAGTGACTGAAGGCTGCTGGAAACTGTCGGGAAACTGTCCGACATCACCGCAGCTTTTTGTCACCGTCCCCCGCTGTGGCCGCCTGCTCTCGTCTACTTTTCAGGCGAGGCGCAGTTCATCTCGAACGAGCCTAATGATTTCTTTGCTTTGGGGTGCCAAGGGGGCTCGGTAGCACCCCCTAGAAAATGTCAACGAAGCAGCCCCTGCAGTAAGTTTTGCTTACAAGCATGAAAATTGGTAGGCTTATGTAACATCCCAAGACATACAAAAAAGGCTCTTGAAGCAATACTCTAAACCTGACAGGAAGTCGGCCATTTTGAATTTGTTTCATTTTGGTGCAGTTTTTTGGCCATTTCCAGGGGTCATACTTTAACAAACTCCTACAGATTGACTTCACATTTGCTGTGTGCCATCTTAAGACCGTTGACATCAAAACTTGTTTAAAGCTTGAGTTTTCGTCGAACCTAATGACCCTGGCGAGACGTGGAATTTCCAGTACAATTGTCAGGTCAAACTGGAATAAAATAAAGAACTGAACATTAACTAAAAGACAAGCAAAACCGAGGAATCCACTTCCACAATAAACCGGAAGGAGGAACCCTTCGCACTATCGCCCAGTTGCTGCCTGGGCCTTAAAAGGCGGCGCACATCATCACAGGTAAAAAGAGCGAACAAAGGTACACAGGCAGCAGGCGTATATCTGTTCCCTCATCTTTCACAATGCCAATGCAGAGTGAGAGCATCTAAACACCAGAGAGGCAGCCGGTAAGACGCTGAACTGTTTAATGAGGAGACTTTTGCACGGAGGTAGTGCATTGTGATTAACTGGTTGTGTTAACGCTAACTTAGCCACGGGGTCGGACGCCCAGTAACGCGTGGCTTGGTAACTGATTGTCTGTGTGCGCTGATTGCCTGTTAATCTCCCTCCTGCCTTTTGAAATGTGATCTGTGTAAATTTAAATTGGTATGTGTTGAGCACAGCTTAAAAGTATTTCACTTCGACTTTTAGTGAATTATGAATGTGTGTTGATTGTATTGGGTGTATCACTGAAGTAATTAGTAGAGTGGGAGAGCAACTTGAATATAACATGATTTGAATCATTTCATATCAACAGTTTCAATTCAAGCATTTATACTCATACATACTCTTAATTGTAAGCATTTTTGTAATTGTGAAAGTGTAATTTTGGAATTTCATTTTAATATAATTTGACCATAAAATTAATGTTAAAACCCTTTCAAAATTAAGGTTAAAAAGCCTGTAAAAAATTTGTAATGAAAGGTTAAGAAGTAATTCATGTTAAAATACATTTAATGGTAAAATACAGAAATTGAGACAAGTTAAAACACATTAAAATATACATTTAAAACAACAATAAATATTTAAAAAGTAGCAAAATTCATACTTACCTGAAACTATGCTAAACCATTTACAGCAGTGGGTAACTTTATTTGCACTTGATTTGTAATTAAATGTAAAAATAATTGGGTTTCACAATATTTAAGTCTTTATTTTCTGGTATTTTGTATACTTATTTTCTGTTGGTGATTCTGATTGGACTTTAAACTTTTTTCTCTGGTTTTGTGGTTCTTTGATTGAAAGGTTTTTCACCTACACACGACGAATGGCATAAAATGCTTGCTTCTAAAAATAAAGGAAGGAAAAGGAAAAGCAGCCTGGTCATTGAGTGAAATCCAGTTAAGACCTCTGGTAGATGCCTCTCTCCCTTTCAAGTGGGGATATTGCATGGAAAACACACTTAAGAACTTGACAACAATAAAGTACAAAACAAGAAGTGGTTTGTAACTCCAGAATACATGGTCCAACCTGCCTCTAACTTTACATGTTTAAAAATCAATATTTTTTCTCAAGTTTGTAAAACTGGTTGCAACAGCTGCACTGAAACAGAAGCTTAGAAATTACAGGAACAGACACACCCAAGTTATCTTCAAGTTCTGTTTTTATTCCACTTAATAATCAGTCTATTAAAACTTCTGAACTTGAACTTCTGGACTGCTTAAAAACCATTGTAAAAACAGAATTTAAATGGATCACATTAACGGTTGTCACAATGGCTGTTGTACTAAATCTAGGTTCAACAGAGAGGGAAACAAGTCTGATATCAATAGATAAAATATTCACATGCTAAACTAAAGTTACTGCACATCGGAACAAGGAAACTTGGAAGTAAAATCTTTAGAAGAAGATGAACGTAAAACTTAAGTTAAAAGCCTAGTCTCGTTTACTACTCCGGTGTAGCTACACATTTTGACAAATGCAGGTCTGTCTCAAATAGAAGCCTGGTCTAGTTGCAAGTCTTTTTATAGAAGTTCTTTGGCTGTATAAAACCAGATTGTTGACAATCCATGTTAGTTAGCTATTTCGCACATATTTCGCACTTTTCCCATCTTTGCTGAGCAACAATTTTGTTTTAAAGGCCTGTCTCAAATATAGGCCTGTTGAGTACAGTGATTTATGCAAATGAAGGCTGGGCAAAGAATTGAAGTTTTACGATATTTAAATTTTTTCACTCTGTTGTCATAAACTTACAAAAACCAGATACACACACAAACAGGACCTATACATGCATTAAATGAAGGGGTGTCAGGGCGACAGGCACTCTGAGCATGTGGGGGTTCGGTGCCTTGTTCAAGGGCACCTGAACTGGCGCCTCTCCGGTTATAAATCCACACCTCATATTTGGTTCTCAACCCAAATCCGTATGGACTGAGCTACTGCCACCCCTGAATAACAACCAAATCACTCTGCTATACCAAAAACCACACTGAAGAAAAACACGAGCATGTACAGTTACCAGAACGTCTTTTTCAAGTTATATTCAGACTTTGGTTACGGCACAAAGACTCTACTGTAGAACAAAAAGAGGGACGTAATGACAGAAGCTGCAGAGTCGTTAGCATTGTCATCTCACAGCAAAAGGGTTCCTGCCTCGAACTCTGGGTGAGGGGTTCTCCCCTTCCGTGTGGAGTTTGCCTGTTCTCCCCTTGTCACAGTGGGTTTCCTCCAGGTGCTCCAGTTTCCTCCCACAGTCCAAAGACATGCAGGTTAATTGGTGACTCTGGTGATGAGCACGGCCCACTTGACATGCTGCTGTGTTGTGCTATGGCCTATTCAAGTGATGAAATTTGTTATTTACATGACAACACCTGAATGCAACACAGGCTCCACTCCAACTGAGTGTATGTAGCGTCGTATTTGACTGTGCGTAACAGTCGTCTTTTGATGGTCATTTACACACTGTCCATAACAATAAATATGTCAAGTACCAAACTGTATCAGATTCAGGTTGGGTTCGGTTATAATTGTCTCAAAGAAAATGCGGCCTGAGCCGCACTCTAGTGTGCTCAACTGTGTGTGCGCACATGTCTGTGTGTGTGTGTGCGCATTGGGGCAGAACTCTGGCGTACGCGATACAGAGAGCAGAGGAGAATTCTAAACGCGGAACCATGTAGAGACAGAAATAACATGCCATCATGTAAATATGATAAATAACTAACTCAATTTAATTAGTTTAATAAAGGACAAGGTATAGACCTGTTCTATAGGGAAGGTAACCTTACATTACTTCTGTTGTGATCTGGAGCTATATAGAAAATACAATTATATAAAATAAACTTGACCCTCAAAGGGGGCGGGGGGTGCTGTTGGGTGGCTGGGGTGCCCCCCCAATATAATGGCAGGGAAAACACTGATTTCAATCCTGCCGTGAAAAACCGGCCCAAAATTCGTCTCTGACACTTCACTTACTTCGGGCGCTCTCACCAACACACTCGTGTTTGTTCACCAAATCGAGCCGAGCGAATCTTTTGTCACAAACACTGCAACCAAACGGTTTCTCCCTTAAATGGACAACCACGTGTCGTCTCAAATGACTCTCTCGTGTGTATCTTTTCCCACAAACTGAACAGCTAAACGGTCTCTCCCCTGTGTGGACAATCAAGTGTTGTTTTAAATTGGCCCTTTGTGTGAATGTTTTGCCGCAATCTGAGCAACAAAACGGTCTCTCCCCCGTGTGGACAACCGAGTGTTGTTTCAAATCTTGCTTTACTGAGAATGTTTTCTGACAAATTAGACAACTAAATGGTTTCTCCCCCGTGTGGATAGCTAAGTGTCGTCTCAAATGGCTCGTTTGAGTGAATGTTTTCCCACAGTCTGGACAACTAAATGGTCTCTCCCCCGTGTGGAGACGCGAGTGTCGTTCCAAGTCTTTCCTTCGTGAAAATGTTTTACTACAGACCAAACAATTAAATGGTTTCTCCCCTGTGTGGACAAGCAAGTGTCGCTTCAAGTCTTCTTTTAATGTGAATGATTTGCTACAAATTGAACAACTATATGGTTTCTCCCCTGTGTGGACAACCAAGTGTCGACTCAGATGCCCCTTCTGTGTGAATGATTTGCCACAATCTGAGCAACTAAATGGTTTCTCCCCTGTGTGGACAAGACGGTGTTTTTCCAGAGCTATCTTTTGAGTGAATCTTTTACTACACAGCAAGCAACCAAATGGTTTCTCTCCAGTATGGATTCTCAGGTGTTTCGCTAAATTTCCGCTGCTGCCAAAACTTGTTTTACAAACCAAGCAGCTAAAACGTTTTCCTTTTCTATGACCTCTGAAGTGCACCTTCAGCTCTGAGCTTTCTGCAAATGTTTCACCACAGATGGAGCAACTAAAGGGTTTTTCCACATTGTGGACTTCAGAGTCTTCCTGTAGACCTCCCTCATGGTCGAAGCTTCTCGCACATTCAGATAAACTAACTGAAGCTATTTCATTATTACATTCCATATCGCCGATAGGTACTTCATCAAAACCTGACTGAGGTTCTCTGGTCTCCTTCCAGTCGTTGCTGTCGTCAGTCTCAGCTTCAGAATGGTCTCCAGTCTTGTCCTCAGTATCTGGTTGTAAATCTGGATCTGGATCTGGACCTGAGTTGTCCTTCGGTTCAGGTCCTTCACAGTCCTCTCCATCAGTTTCAGAAGAGTCTCTGGGTGCTGGTCGCATTCCTTCTCCTCCGGGGACTGGTTGTACTCCTCCACAGTGGTCTCCATCAGCTTCAGATTGGTCTGCAGTCTTGTCCTCAGTATCTGGTTGTAAATCTGGAACTGGATCAGAGTCCTCATCTGGTTCTGGTCCCCCACATTCCTCTCCATCAGCTTCAGATTGGTCTCCAGTCTTGTCCTCAGTATCTGGTTGTAAATCTAGAACTGGATCAGAGTCCTCTTCTGGTCCTGGTCCCCCACATTCCTCTCCATCATCTTCAGAAGAGTGTCCGGGCACTGGTCGCACTCCTCCTCCAGGCACTGGTCCTGGTCCTGCTGGTCCTCCACAGTGGTGTCCCTCAGACTGAGGTTTCTCTTCATCATCTTCACTCTTCACAGGGACAGGAGTGAATGTGAACTTGGTGATATCAGCCTCCTCCAGCCCTTGAAGCTGCTCTCCCTCCTGACTGCTCCACAGTTCCTCCTCTTCCTCTTTAATGTGTGGGGGCTCTGGGTCCTCCTGGTCCACACTGGAGCTCCACTCCTGCTGCTCAGGGGGAACCTCTTCTTTAACCACCAACAGCTGCTGCTGGACATCTGCAGGAAACAGGAAACACACAAACACGCATTGAGACAAACTGTAATTTAATGCTGACTTGGGGTGTAACACTGTCTGGTATAATTTGTTCAGTTTTCTTCAAAGAGAGGTTGTAAAATCCCGAGGTGTTCCCAGACCAGATGAGATCTATAATCCCTCCAATGTGTTCTGGGTCTGCCCCAGGGCCTCCTACCAGTGGGACGTGTCCAGAACAAATGTTCTTCTTCTTATGGATTTCCGATAGGCTGTATATCTAGCGTAATGCTGCCCTCCACAGGTCATGACAAGCTACTAATTAAATCTTCTCATATAATCCAGTAGAGTGGAGGTATTTCCTGATCAGATGTTGAACCACCTCAACATGAAGGAGCAGCAGCTCTACTCCGAGCTCCCTCCAGATGTCTGACTCCTCCCCCTATCTCTAAGGCTGACCCAGACACCCTACAGAGGAAACTCATTTCAGACGCTTGTATCTGTGACCTCATTTTTTCAGTCACTACCCAGAGCTCATGACCATAGGTGAGGGTTGGGACGGACATGGACTAGGAAATGGAAAGCTTTGCCTTCTGGCTCAGCTCCCTCTGAACCACAGCGGTTCATGGCTGATCCATCTCACGCTCCATTCTTCCTTCACTCATCAGCAAGACCCTGGGATACTTGAACTCCCTTTGAGAATCACCACTTTAACATGGTGGAGGAGTTTGCCTGAACCTGTGATCCTGGGAGATGTGTTTTCCAGGGCTAACATGGTGGTTCCACGGAAGGGGCCAGACTAAGAGAGATTCAAGAAGACTGATCAACCAGAATATTCGAACTTAGAGTACCTTGGGGCCTGGTCGGGCTCAGCCCAAATAAATAACATGGAGACGTTGCCCTGTGGGCCCACCATCTGCAGGGACAGGAATCAGAGTTAGGTGCATTGTGTGCTGGGCGGCAGACAGGGGCAGGGCCCCGGGCGTACTGATCCCTGGCAACGCGATATTATCATGCATCCCACCCCATACCTACGCTGACACGGAAAGAACATGTCAGAGCACCTGGAGGAAACCCACGCTGACATGGAAAGAACATGTCAGAGCACCTGGAGGAAACCCACGCTGACATGGAAAGAACATGTCAGAGCACCTGGAGGAAACCCACGCTGACACGGAAAGAACATGTCAGAGCACCTGGAGGAAACCCACGCTGACATGGAAAGAACATGTCAGAGCACCTGGAGGAAACCCACGCTGACA